GCCCTGACCTGCCGTGACTGCCGGCAACGCAGTCACGGATGGGATTCCGCACTCCCACCCATCCTGGGGCCACCTCTGCTCCTTGTCTACCCGCTTGAGTGATCCCGTGCCCACCGCAGAAGTAGTTTCCACCGAAGTGATGGAAAACCATCCTTATTTCTTTATTTTCATGGGTTGCTTTCCCTCCAGATGAGCCGTCTCCACATCATCTCCACATCATCAGCCATGTCCACGACATCCCCACAGCTCCCCGGCTGCAGAGGAGTGGGGGGGAAAAGCAGAGAAGGGACCAAAAACCAGGACCAGGTTTTTCAGGCTGCTACGCTAAATTAAGGGAAACAACAAGCTGCGCCTTGAGCCTTGGAAAATCCAGCTGCGGTGCTCGGCTTTGCCTCTGGCTCGGGAGTAAGACAGGGATAACAATAAATCCCTTCTCCCACCTGCACGTCGTGATGCGATGGGGTGTAGGGACGGGGGCTGTCCCTTCCTCTGGGCTTGTCCAGTGCTGGCACGAGGCAGCTCTGATCTCGCCTCGGCTGCTGCCCGGACAGTGGGATTGGGATGAATCGAGCGGCTGGCAATGGATCTCTGGCCGCCTGTTGGCTGCCTCCCCACGGGGAACAGTGCGGGTTGTGGAATTAATGCTGCCTCCTTCCGGGATCATGGGCTGGGAGGATGCATCCCAACCGAGAAAGAGGAATTTCCAGGCTCCATCCCCGCCACATGTGGGAATCGCCCCGCATCCACCAGCGGTCGCGTCGGCAGCTGGTTCAGGAACCCACACGGATATTTCCTTGGTGTTGCTGTAACTAATAAGTAAAATTAACGTGTTGGTATTAATTAATGGGCTACATTAGAGCCGACGGAGACAATAGGCTGTCTGAGGGCAGCCGTGCAGGGGGTTGGCAGGAATCCCTACCTTGGCTTACCCTCTGCCAGGTGAGCTTTTCCTTCCCACAGGGATTTCTCCCATGAGCTGCCGTGGCCGTGCAACCTCCCGCCTCGCCTAACCCCACCGCCGAGATGCCACGTGCTGGCGTCTTCCCGCACCGGTACCTTTCTCCGCGTGTGTGAGGGTAAACCTAGGAAAGAAGAAAAGGCAGAGGAGGGAAAATCAGTGGGTTTATCTCAGGGCTTAAATCCGGTGTTTTCAAATCTGTCACCAGCCCCAGCCTAACGGACCTGCAGTGCCCTGATGGGAGCGCGGGGCGACGGGCGGCAGGGTGGGAGGGAGCAGAGGGAACCTCTGGACTGGAACCGCAGCTTTTCATACCTGTCACGATGTGGGTTTTCAGCTTGAGCACACAAGGCTGAGCTCAGGGGACACTGTCATGTAGATTTAGGGGTTTATCTCCTTTCCTCTCCATTAACTGTGATTCCCTCTTATTACACTGAAAACCCAAACCGTTCTTTCCTCCAGCGGTTGTCCCCTTTCCCGTTCGGCAACTCTCGACCTGGCCGCGTCCTGGGCGCGGGTTGAAATCAGCCCCCGCTCACCCTCTCCCTGCACGTGGGGCCGGGCGTTCGGCAGTGCCATCTCTCACGCCATCACGGAAGCCAAGGCCGGCCGGGGGGGGTTGCTAACCAATTTTCACGTGTTTTTTCTCCCCTTCCCATCCTCTCCCTCCCTGCGCCGGCAGTGACACGGGACTGAAGAGGATGGGTCTGATCGCGCTTGGCAGGCGGAGAGGGAATGGAAAGGGCAGAGAGAAAAAGAGCATCCCAGGATAAGGATAAATTTCTCGCAGCCTTTTGGGCTTTCATCATGCAGCACCTTGGGCGAGAGAGCTCTCCAGGCAGGGGAGCAACTGCTGGGGGCTGACCCCGCTTATCCTGGGGTGTGATTTTAAGCCAATTTAATTAAATTGCTTGGCGAGGTTGTGAGGACTCATCTATTGCGGTTTGAGCCTGGCCTGTTTTGATTTAGCGTTGGCTGATTAGGAATTAACTGAAACAAACCGCTCAGAAAACAAAATTAGAGGGTGCACACTAACTTTTTCACCAGATTAAGTTGAATTAAAAAGCAATTGAAATGTAATTTTCCTGTCTCAATCAGCCAAGAAACGAGATAATGCAACCGGTGGCACTTGAAGCTTTAAAATACAGGATCTAGGATTAGCACAACTAGCTTTTTAATGCCCACAAACGGCGGATTTATCTGGAGGTCTTCTCTCAAGCCTCCCCCCACCCCCTTCTGCACAAAGCTTCGTGCAACTCATTTCGCTTGCCTTGAAAGGGAGAATTGGTGTGACCCTGGGATTTGAATCCACGACTTGGATCAGCCTGGGTATTGCACAGCGTTTTTCCGTGCGGGAAACAGCCGCACCGTGAGCTAGATGGTCCCTGTCACTCTCGAGATTTAGTTTGAAATGGGTCCTGTGGCACGCGGTGGAAGGGTACGAAGGCCCAGGCTGTGCTCCTGGGGTGCAGAGGGTGCGGACCCCAGCGGTGGGTGCTGCTCCCACCCTCCTCCCAGCACCGACCCCCTCCTGCCTTCCTGCAGTGAGCCCAGGCGCCCGCTCTGAATTACCGAGCTCCCCACCTCCCTCGCAAAAAAAGATGTCAAATCATTTAAAATCAGGTTCCAAGCGAACATTTTAACAGCTGCTTT